CTAAATTCAATGACAAGTGTGTCTTTTCCGGTAGCCATATAACTTCCTCTACTAAACACATCAGCCATTCTCATGTGTGAATTGCAACCTGTACTATAATTCTCCAATATAATGCCCTTGAAAGCCTTAGAAATGTTCCCCTCTGAATATCAACTCTGGTATCTCCTCATTTCCTTTGTGTTAATCTTTATGCAAAGATAAAACAAAACAGATATTTTGTTTTACTCCAGTGGATTCACTCCAGTCTAATGCACTGAACTGAACACATTTAAGTAATCATCAGGAAGCTCAACTTTTAATGCCTGGGTGTTAGCTAATGGTACTTAATCATGCTTTGAACTGGGACAGAACTGTGACTGGGGCTCAGTTGCTGTGAATGACACTGTATAAATAAAGCTTTAATGCACTGAGCAAATAACATTTCTCTGCATCTTGGCAGTGGCGAGCACGAAGGAAGCCGGCGGATGAAAACTGAATTACTGGTGCAGATGGATGGCTTGGCCCGATCTGATGATCTTGTATTTGTTTTAGCAGCTTCTAATCTGCCATGGTAAGAGATCCAGAGAGTACATTTTGAATACATTTGCATGAGCCTCTAAGCACAGATAAAGATTTTATTTAGACTCCTGCAGAAAAAAGCCTTGATATTTGGTTAAAGCATTTAAAGCTTAATTTGGAGCTTTTACTTTTAAATTCTACAATTCTTACTATCTGTGCCACATGAGAATAATCCATAATAAAGTCAGCATATGCTGATGCCACCAGCTGCTAATATTTAAAATGGAGTATTTGACTTTATAGCCAAGTTATTTACTATGTTTACGCTAAGAAGGGTTTCAGCATAGTTCTGTAAGGTGCTTACAACATCTAGTGCTCAGAAAGATACTCCATAAATAGGAAGGTTGGATTTTATTGGTATTAAAATCTGCCTTTTTAAAGTTGGAGAATAAAACTTTCGGTTTCTGTAATATAATTTAGGCCTAGAAGAATCAATGGCCTGTGATGGGAAACACGAAGTACAATACGGCATCAATCAGCGTGTTTCACACAAAATGCCCTCAGCCATTTTACAAAATTCAGAAATAATCGGAGTGGGGAAGGAGACCCAAGTGCTGTGGAGCTGGAGTATCCCTTCTGACAGAAACCTAGGGAAATGGTAGAGCAGCAGGGAGTTCAGCTGGTTGAATCTTGTGTAGATCATCCATTCAGCTGAGGAAGTTCTTTGGACATGGAAGAGAAGGGATCCATGGTTGTATGAGATAGTTATATGAGAGGCCACTTTCCCCCTGGCAGGATGATCTTGGCGAGGGGAGTTGTGCTGACTTTTTGGGGAGAATCTACGTTTGTCTGTATCTGTCTAATATTCTTCTACTCTGCCATTGCTTTTAGTACCATCTCCTCAAAGAATTGGTTCCATTCATCTCAGGCCAATAATGAGGATTGATTTGGTTGCTCAAAGAGAAAAAAGCTGTGACACACAAACTGAGCAGTTCTGATTCTACCTGGTACACATACATACTGGCCAGTTCAATACAACATTCCCCTTACTTGTTAATGCCACTATAGCTTGTCCTGCAGAAACGAGAGTTTATCATATGCACCATGTCTGTGCTAGCTGTACGAATCCAGGCCAATACTAGAAGAGGATTCAGAGAAAAGAGCTGGATCAGAGGTGTCCAAACTGTGGCATGTGAAGCATCTGCTGAAGTCTGCACACAACTAACAGATTGCATGATATTGGTTTCTTGTTTCTTGCTATTAAACTGCCTTAAAACAGAGTTGAACATACGCTTAAAAGTTGAACATACGTTTAATATTTATCTCATGTTATTTGACCATGAGATCAAGTTGCCACAGAAATGTTAGGAGCTTATAAATGGAAGGGGATCATGAACAGAAGAGCAGGGGTCTGCGGTACATCCTTCATATCCAAAGTATGGTTCACAGTACAAACAGGTGTGCAAACCCCTGGGCCAAGCAAAAGCTTCTGTCCCTAATCAGCAACCACTCACCGACACCACCTTGTTGAACAAATGACTCCCTGGCATTTCCACAGCTGATCGTGGCAGTGCCTGGAATCTGACTGACGAGCGCATCCGTTTCTGCAGCATGTAGACAGCTCTGCTTTGTGACAACCACAGGCTGTTGCCATCTGAAAGTGGTTGGAGCCGAGGGAGGGCTTTGCACCCACAAAAACCACAAATGTTTTGTTGCTCGGTTTGTTTTGATTAGTGGTTCTCCGGCTGACTTTCACAAGGATGCCCTAGGGACATTGGTGGGAAGAGCCTTGATCTGTGACTGGAAATCCTCAGACTACGACCGGGGAGTTGTCATTTATATTGCTGAGTGTAGTACATCTGAACAGTGCAGCCTGGGTATCCACAGCCACTTTTCTTTGATTGTATATGAGAACGCCTAAGCAGCAGGAAGCAGCCTGTAATAGCTGCCAGCTCAGGATAAGCTGCATCTATACACCACCAACTTCAGTGCAACTCGTATTAGTTTTACTCCTAACTTTTCCTGAGAAAATTCTGCAGTTGATTTTAGGGAGTTATGTGAGGGTAGGGCTGCATGCCATGTGTTTGCTCATTTTTAGTGTATAGACCATGGCCTTAGATTCCCAGGTCATGTAAGCACTTCTGAAGTTGTTATGCTGAGCGTGCTATGCCTCAGGGGTGCTATATGAGGTAGTTCTGTCTCAGTACAGCACCTGCCCCTTGGGAGCATTAAATCAGTGATTTGGATGTGGGGGTGAAAAGCTTGCTGGCCAAGTTTGCGAACCACACCAAGTTATGCAGGAGTGTGGTAAATGCCACAGAAGATAGGTTGCAGATACAGGCGGACCTGGACAGGCTGGAGAGCTGGGCAGACCAGAACCAGATGAAGTTCAACACTCAGAAGTGCAAGGTGCTCCATCTGGGGGCAAACAATCCCCAACATACCTACAGGCTTGGTGGCAACAATTTGACTTGCACCACAACCGAAAGGGACCTCGGGGTAGTGATTGACCATTGCATGAACATGAGCCGGCAGTGCGATGCTGTGCCCAGCAGGGCAAACACTACACTGGCCTGCATTAACCGCTGCATCTCATGCAAAACTAAGGAAGTGATACTCCCGCTGTACTCTGCACTGGTGAGACCGCAGCTGGAGTACTGTGTTCAGTTCTGGGCACCCACTTCAACAAGGACATGGAAAAACTTGAGAGGGTCCAGAGAAGAGCCACTGTATGATCAGGGACTTGCAAGACAAGCCATACGAGGAGAGGCTGAGGGACTTGGGCCTCTTCAGCCTACAGAAGAGAAGGCTGAGAGAGGACTGGGTAGCGGCTTACCGCTACATCAGGGGAGTATATCAAGGACTCGGTGAACAGCTGTTCACTAGGGCATCCCTGGGGAAGACCAGGAGCAATGGATACAAACTCCTGGAAGGCTGCTTCAGGCTCAATTCCAGGAAAATCTTCACAGTCAGGGTGTCCAGACTGTGGGATCAACTCCCTCCAGTGCTGGTGCAGTCACCTACCCTGGAAATCTTCAAAAGGAGACTGCATGGTCACTTCGCTGGGGTCACTTGACCCCAGTTGTCTTTTCCTGCTTAGTGTAGGGGGACTGGACCCGATGATTTACAAGGTCCCTTCCAGCCCCTAGCAATCTAGGAAATCCACTGTAAAAATGAACAAATTGGCCATAAATTAATTACTTGGCAGCTACCCCAAAAGTCTCTCCCCTGTCCTGATTGATAGTTCTGTTCTCACATGGTCAAAATACAAAGGCAGACAATAGCTTTATAGTTTACTTTAACAGTGTAGTGTGTTTTACTGATTTATCCCTTGGGCTATCTAGTGGAAATAAACCCACGCAAAATCTGGCCTGTTTGGCATTACAATATGTACATGTAAAGAATGGATTAGAATATGATTAGTCATATTCTAAACATGCTACTATCGGGTTGCATGGAAAAATACTTCAAGATAAGTAGCTGAAGCACATGCAAATATTTGTCTTGGCTAATTTAATAACCCATTTCTCCCTTTAAATCTCATTAGCAGTCTGCTGTAAAAATGTTAATTTATTATAGCATCATTACTCTTTATACGAGAGACCTTTAAGCAACAGACGGATCTTTTTCGTGGTCAGTTTTGAAATGATACTCTATATTTAAGTATCATGCATAGCATTAGAGCCTTTTGACCATTTGCCCATCAGTAGAGCATTGAAAGGATTCAATCTCAAGTGAATTCATGTAAATCCTGCCCATTACATAGATCTGAAAAAGAATACAGGAAGTCTAGGAGCAGTAAGATGGGGTACGGAAGAATGTGCCTGAAAAGATTTCACTCTGTGGATCTTCCAGACTTCTGAGGCAACGGTGAGACTTGTCAATGTGTACCTAGATAAATCATCACATGTGTCTTGTATGACATGAATCTCTTCCTTTTATGGGTCTGGTAATCTCATTTTGGGAAGAGCTGTGCAAATAGAACAAAATGTATTTGTAATATTTCCAGCATTTAATGTTGGATTAGTTCTCAGCCTAGAAATGCTAATTTCTGTAGATTTTCCTTGAAATTGCCATTTTCACACCAAAAACATCAAATTATGATTTTTCCCACTGTAAAACTAAGTTTCCAAAATTTATGGATTTCACTACATAAAAACTAAAACAACACATAAGAACTATGGACATTTTCACCCTGACTGTTCCTAATTTCAATCTGTTTTTTTCCAAATGTCAAGGAATGACACTTTTCTAAACATTGAAGCTAAAAGTAAAAAAATCCATTTTTCAGTGGAACTACTGCATACAATTCCTTATGTGCAGGGTTTGGGCATGCATAAGGATTTTACAAGTCTGACTGAAATCCTGACTGCCACTGAAGTGGATGTCTTCAGTGGGCCAGGATTTCATCTTCTAACATAAGATACTCAAGCCCAGAACTACAAGAGTTCAGCAACCACCATAGCAAGATCATTTGGAAATTTGGCCCTTTTTTTTGGTTCCTACAAGGAAGCTGAGCTCTTTTCAGAATTTGAAACTGTAGCCCTGGAAGTTTGGAAATTTCATGTAGTTTCATTTGACCGTTGATTAGTGGCCAGGTATTTGAACTCTGTTGCAGTCTGAGTTGCATTGGCACCAGTGAGCCTAATGCTTGGTGTAGGGCCTCTTTATGAATCTGACTGAACAGATTGAATAAAGAGACTTTCTTCCAGTGGGTAAAACTCCATTAAAATCAGTGCATCAGCCTACACTCTAGCTGTGGCCCAGATTCTCACAATTATTTTGGCATCTGACTCCCTTAAATACTTCTTCAAGGATTTGGGTCTAGGTGTATAGTGGTAATTTTTATGTTTAGATGGTGCAAGACCATGAACTTCAGTTGAATTGAACTTCAGGTGAATTGGAGCATTTATAATAGGTCTGAATTTTATCCAACTTAAATTATATATGAATAGTTTTTCCTTCCAAAAGCCCAGTACACATGAACAAGTCCTGGAAGAGCCATCGTTCTTGATCTTTCTATACAGTATGACAAAGGGGCAGTCAGGAGAT